TAAATGCTTCTTTAATATTCGAATAAGGATGAACAAGTTCATTTTCAGATTGGTGTGGCAATAATAAAAGTAACATGGAATAAAAATGATCATCTGAAGATGGAGGAAAATGTGGAAAACGAACAACACTTGGTTTTTTGCATTTCTTCATAACCACATCATACTTTTCAATATAGATACGAGACAAAGATACTCTCTTTGGCATTTCATTGGAACATTTCTTGTACCAGGAACAAAACTTGAATAAACACATATTACTTAATTCCACTGGTCGACAATGATAATAATCAATTATGTTTGTCTGAAACACTTCTGTAGAACTATCTTCAAGAATTTCAATTTCTTTTCTACTTTTTAAAATCCTGTACCTTTTACTTGGTTGTCTTGTATTTAGATAAACAAAACACCTGGTTACATGAATTAAATTCAAATTGCTTAATCTGTAAGCAGCTTCTTGGGAACTCAATCGCCTATGGCGTAAAACTGTTATTCCTATTTTTAACAAACGCTCATGTCGTGGAATAGGATTTTCTTTAAAAATATTGTGAATTAGTTGACCCAGCGCATTTTTCAACTCATCTGGCTCCGACTTGCAGATATAACTACACACATAATATGCTGCACCCTCAGCATTGCAAATCATCTGAATATCCATATTTGCTCTCCAGTGTCTCAATACATCAGGATTGTATGAATTTATCATAACATCTTTACTTGTTCTTTTAGTTGTATAAAACTTTCCTTTATTTTTATTAGATAAATTTATATTTCCCACAACACAAGTTTTTTCACACTCTCGTTTTGGAAAACCAAATCTACAACAGGACTTAAATCCCTTACTACTGTACGAAGTATGAGAATGACTTTGTAATGTAGTAACTAATTGAAACATTTCAGCATCATGCTCACAGTTAGGGATAACAGAACATATTGTTTTATCTATATAATGAATGAGTGTTGGAATTGTTAAATTTGAAATTTCATTGGGAACATCTTCAATCCATAAAAACATATGAATGTGTGGGCTTCCTCTATTTTGAAATTCTACCCTTGCAAAGTAATCCAGAACTTTGCCTAAAGGATAATTATTACTCTGAACTACATATTTCATTAAAGACTTAAATCTGCGTTCAAAGTGTATTGCAGTCATTAAAGGATCACTTCTCATACCACTTCCAAAACTGTTCCATTGTTTAGCTTCATCAAAATCAATATCATGTAACATTATTCCTAATTCTGGCCAATGCAAATCATCTGCTGACAAGGTCATGAAAAGTGTTGGTGGACCCAAACATCTAAACATCGCCAGTAAATTAGTTGGTTTCTGAAATAAGCCACAGTCCCACGGATATTTTTCATGAACATGTAAGAATTTTCTTTTAACTCAACATTATTCTGCAAATTTTTTATATCAAATGCATTAACAGACTCAACACTATTTTGACCTTTCCTTATTCGCATGTTTATATTTATCTCTGATTTCAGAGAGGCGAGATCAAATGAAACAGCAGAATGTAACAAATAAGTTAAATCTTTCTTGAAATTTCCATTTTTGTTATATAACCTATATCTAAAATACATAGATCTCGAAAATTTCTTAGGTCTATTGTAATTTAATCCATTTTTACCATATGGGAAGAGCCAAGGAAAAGCCATTTCTTCACCACTTTCCATTTCATACACTCTTACAGGTTTTTCTGAAATGTGAGGTACATTAATTATGCCCTCATTTCCATTTACAGAAATGTCATTAGGTACTGTACTATTCATTGGTGTAAGTGTAGCACTTTCCATATCAAAATCTTCAAAACCATTCATTTCTTTATCTGTCAATAATTTTTCATTTTCTTCAGAAATAGCAATGTGTTCATATAAAAAGTTATTTCTTTTCAACCATAAAAGTGCTTTTTTAACTTTACTTACGGAAACAAAATATTTAAATTTTTCAGATTCCACATAACCTTTGTGTTCATAATTTACAGCAAAAAAAACATCCGTCATTAATCTTTTGAGGTAGTTGATTTGCAATAACTTGCACATTTGTTGGCAAGTTTAGAATTAACCCCTTTTCAGCCATCTGACCCCCTGGTAAAATAATCACAGTCATAAAAATTTGAATCAGTGCAATCAATCTTTTCTCAACTAATGACAAATTTTGCAGTTCTGAAGGAATTTCAAATGTTTTTAAGCAGTTAGCTTCAGTGGATAAATATGGAACTTCCTTTTTCTTTATTGAACAATTACAAGTTTGACACAACACATCACTTCCATTAGTTCTTACGTGCGATAAGTTTTTTAGCTCTGTGTTTTTTAAATTGTATGTCTGGTTTTTAAATAAAAATCTGTCGCAACAAGCACATGAAAAATTTGGACGTTCTCTTATTCTACTCTCGTAAGCATGAACATGATTTTTATCATGCAAATAGTTCAAATCATGTCTTGTAGGATACCGGTATGCATCTGATATCGTATAAAAACATGATACACTATCAAAAATGTTAAAACTGCCACCCAAGCTTCCGTCTTCCAGTATCAGATTGTGTGCAGATCTCTCACTATCTTCAAAAGACACATTTTGATGAAAGTACTTTTGAGGAACATTAACTGCTTGTTCTACTTGTTTTCTCTTCTTTTTCTTCATTGAACATTTTTTTTTTGCTTGATAAGTTACAATAATTATGAATTTTATTTCTGCTACTACAATCGTAAGTTGTAAAATCTGTAATTGTTTTGTTGCGCACACATCCAGATTGCCTTTCTCTTTGCTCTTCACACAAGGTATTTATTTCATCATAATTTGAAATCATACCAGAATTAAAATTGTACCAAGGAAAATGCAGCGGAGTTATATCATACCTCATATTGCTGTATAATGTTGATACATATTGGAAAAATTCTTCTACATTTTCGAACTGAAGCATGACAGCATTCCCATTTTCATTAGGAAAACCAAAAGAATCTCTTTGATGCGAGTCAAAAACATAAACAGAGTTGTCACGTACATTACTATATACTGCCACAGTATTTCCTCCAAAAGTAACCAAATGAAAACTTGATATTTCATTACTCTCTAAGAAAGCATTTTCAAATGACATTGCACCAGCGTCTACATTATCACCATCATTAACAATGCCATAATACCTGTCAAAATAATATTCAATTTCACCAGGTAACCGGTTCAACGAATATAATGTTGATGGCAAATCTCGATGAGATAAATAACCATAGTCGCGACCAGATGACAAAATATGACCATAAAATTCGTACCATTAGCAACAGTTTGATTCAAATCACTGGGAGATAAATTTGATAAATCAGTCATATGTTTAACAAACATAAGCAGGGCAACTAAAGATATCGCAGTACATTGTACACCGTTATAGGGTTGAAATTGAGCACACCCTTGATGACAATTTGCTAACAAACTTCTTACCATTTTCTCCGTCTTCGCTGCAGCACCACGTGTATTGAGAATGTGAAGGATAAATACCGTAAACATCCGAATGCAAAAAACAAAGCGCGGGAAGGAAAATCCTTTGTTGATACTAATTTTGTGTATACCGATCCCGATACAATGCTTTAACAACAATGAAAAAACGCCGAAAATTTCCGAATAATTATCAGCTAAACTTGTCAATGACCTACATTATACGAGTAAACAAAGTGTAGTGTTTTTAAAATACACATGATGTATTAATTATTCTATTATGAACATGAAGATTTACTTAAGGTCATTGGCAACGAAGGGTTTCCGGAGAAAAAAGGTTTATACCCAGGTTTCTTTACTTATGAAAAAAAGTCATTGAGAGTGATCTCCCGTATGGAATTCTCTAGGCGCTGAAAACAAAGAAAGCATATGTAACAGACTGAGGTAAACAAAAGCACGTGTGTTTTTCTATCGGATATATTCAACTCTACAGTAATAAAAGAAAAGCAGCGCTGGGTTTTGTTTACATTGTGTTGAGGGGGCAGACAGTTAACAGGTCGTCATTTAGAATAGGTAAATGATTGCTGGGAAGTGCAAAGGTGTGAAATAATTATGCTGAAAGTGTTGATAGCTAGTTGGACCGAATGAGAACGATTCCATAGGTTATGTGAATGATGCACCATTAAAAAGTTACTATAAATCCTTGCAAAAATGTTTTTTAACAGTTCGTTTCCAATTAAGTGAATTATAGAATAGAAACAAACAACCACTCTCTTGGATGTTATTACAGTAAAGGGAAGTAACTCAAAATTAAAGAACAGTGCTGGTATTTCTGTGTTTTGTTTCAATATTCGCATTTTCAGCCAAATTATATGCATGTCATCGGAAATAAGGTTTCAACAATGTGTTTTATGTATAAACCTTATGAAATAAATGGGTTTTAGAGAAAACGTATGGTTAAAAATAATATAGGCCCATTTTATCAACATTTTACATAGGAAATGCATTGAAAATTGTAAAAACATTGATTTGACAAAATCGTTAAAGGAAGGCTGGCTTGATGGGTAAAAAGGACCTGAATTGAACATGTTTGGTACCATTAAACCTGTTCAAAAAATCTTGAAAAATTCTATACGAAAACCAGAAACGTTGCCAATGTCCTTAATATTATACACATTAAATTTTTTAATCTAAAAGCTGTAAATAGTAATTCTGAAAAAAAAAATTATCTCGCAGAAAAAAAAACTGTCCCGCAGAAACACAGTCACAGTTTTTAAATGTATATCAAATAACGGACCGCCTCCTGGCGGCCCGTAATAAAAAGAATTTTTAAATGTTTATTGTGTTGTGCGTTCTTGTTAAACATTTAGACGCTCTTTTTAATATATTATTTTATTGATGTTAAATATTTTTTTTTATTTAAATTGTTTGTTTTCACTCCGCAGAAACGCACAGCGACTTCAAACTTTCATATCATATAACCGACCGCCTCCTGGCTGCCGGTAATAATAATTCTTGAAAGTGTAGATATATGACAGATTTGTCAGTTTTATTTACATGTAGATCATTATACATGTACCTGTATATATTATCTTTACATTGTGAATATACACGAATTTTATGATGTTACAATTTAAGTATGTCTTAATTCAGGAAGATCATATTTCTATATCATTCACCGGTGAAGAATGTTTCAATTCTATTCATATGATATATATAATTTTTATCTTTGTAACATGTTTTAAATGGAAATTGGCTATACAACCATTAATAAATCACATAATAGTGCTTTGCTTTAATTAAATTTGTTACTTATTTTTTAGGTTATATCATATAAAAACTCTAGTGTACTTTCCCAAGCACCAACTGTCTATCTGTCTTTCTGTAAACTTTCACATTGTCAACCACTGGACCAAAGTTCAACCAAAGGAAGTTCAGTAGTTACAATGAAATCAATGCATTTATATCCAGTAGGAAATGTAAAATTCGTTATATTAACTACTCAACATTTCTTTATCCCCAAAACCAAATCAACACAAACCCATATTTTCATAATCCTCAAAACCTTGACGTCACCAAAATGTTATTTCAATTAACAAATATTATTAAGCACAGTAAATGGGTACAATAGTTTCTACATGCTACTAACATACATGCCTCTATTTAAAATATTTAATTTTCTTAATTTTTCCTCCATACTCAAGAACAAACAGATTGTTACTTTTGTCCAAACACATACCATATGGATCCTTCAGATCACAGTTATCTATATAATGGAGGAACTGTCCGTCCTGGTCTAGAATGTGGATACAGTGGTTATCACTGTCTGTTGTCAGGATCTGACTCTGGCTGTCTGTTGTGATACCATAGGGTTTAAATGGTTCGTTCTTTGTGGTAGAAGGATGACCAGTGTATCTAAATCGGAGTTTACCAGCTTGATTGACGACCACTACAGCACCAGCTTCAAAGTCAGCCACACAGATATCCAGGTTTCTGTTCTCACTAATATACTTGATAGAGTTATTTCCTGAATACAGAGGTTTACCTTCCTCATCAAATTGGATTGTTTGTTTCTCTACGGAGCCAGAGTAACAGACAATTTTGGATTGTGTTTGATTAACATTGTACATGGTAACCAGAAAGTCACCAGAGAAGCTAACACAGAGTTGTATAGGTGTCCAGCCCTGTAGTCTGAACATCTCCTTTGTCTGCCCATTCTTCACTTTATTCACAGTCCTTGTTTTCCAGTCAGAATACACCAGATTTCCATCACTTGTCAATACTACATCACATGGCCATTCCCCTGATTTTGTTTTGATTGACTTGATAAGTGAACCTTGTATGTTAAAGCATTTCATATCACTGACTTTAAATCCTCTTGTCCAGATTTCTTCTTCACTGAGACAAGTAACACTGCGGAGTTTTTCATACCCGGTATCTATAGTAGTGATAAGTTCTGGTTCTCCCAGCAGTTCTCTGGTTGATGTCCTTGGAGTCTGCAGTATGTAGCCATTTTCTTCTGTTGTGGTAGATAATGGTGAAAGAATTCCAATTAACTTATAAAGCTGTTCTCTATCTATTGGCTGTGGATTAAAAATGGGAAGGGATACTTGAATTTTAGGAGGAAGTTTACTGAATTCGTTGTTTTTGGAGCTGTATTTTATGATCATAGATACTTCATTGGATTCTTGAATCTTCTTCAAGTTGAGCAGAATTTCTTCAAAAAGAGATTTTAATTGTTTGATTTCCTTTGCATGTTTCTTCAATATGTCAAGGTGTTTTGCTTTAAAATCTTCAATGTCTTTTTTCATGACATTGATGGCATTGTCAATTTCTCTGTGCCATTGTTTTCCATGTTCTGTCACTGCTGTTGTAAGTTTCTCATATTCTCCGTCTAAGTTAGCTATCTGTGTTTCTATATCAGTGGCAATTTCTTCATATGTAGGGGAAATAATGTCTTGTAATTTCTCTGTAACTTTTGCAATTTCATTTTTCTTTGAGTTGTAAACTTCCTCAAGGATTAAAAATTTATGTCCTTCATGTTGTTTTGATGCTGAGCAATAGGAACAAACAGGAATGTCACATTCCTTGCATTGTAAATCACAGGGTTTGGTTGTATGTGTTGCACATTTTGGATAAATTAAGGTTGATTTTCTTTGCTGGAATGGGACAATTTGGTGTCTGCTATAGTCATCAGCAATGTGTTCTCCAATACAGGGTTTACAAAGGTTGACATGACAGAAATCACAGTACATCTGTACTATAGATGCCTCACAAAGGTCACATCTGATCACATCTTGAGCATTTTGGCGGGGGTCCATAGTAACTTAAGTTCTATAAAGATAATTGTTTAGATATAATTCGTTGTTCATTTAGAATATTTTAAATAAAACTTACATTTGATTAATCATGGTAATAGTAACACAAATCAAAATTCAAATTTTTTAACACACTATGATAGGTGTTTGATTATATTCATTGCATCGACAAATTCTTAGAGTGAATTGATACTTGACTTTTCGTATTTAACTCAGAATACCTTGTTGCAACCAGAATCATCAAAAGTAGGCCTTTATTTCTTATCAGTTTATGACATACAGTAATCATACAAACCGAAAGTAATAAACATTTATTAAGTTGTTTTTCTTTTACCGTTTAAGCAGAAAAAATCCTTTACAACACTGGATGTCAGCGAGTTATTCTTTGTATCTACTTCTCAAACATATTTTCCTTTTTGGCTCAAGACTGTGACTGTCCACACTATTGTTTTACAAGGGATGATAAAAGATACCCCCCGAATCGTTACGCAAGTTCAAGATTGAAAATTAGAGTTATCTTTCTTGCCTTATTTCTTTTGATGTTGCATTTATAGTACACCGCCAAATAAAAACCCACCACCGAGTGCTTGCAAGGCCAAGAACACTAAATATAAAATCTCGTGCGACTGATCAGGAAAAATTGGGTCATTGATTTCGAATCTTTGTCAACGTGTATTCAGATACTCCACATTGTTTTTGTTTTACTTACCAGAGAATAAAGCCGTAAAACTGGTAATAGGTTGAAGTTTCAATAGGCCTAAATGTAAAACGGTATTAATCATTTTTTATTCGCGAGACGTTTATTTTTGGGTAATTACACGAGAGGGTCTTTTCGCAAACAATCACTTTCACGTGTAATTTTATAATTGGCATTGAATACACCAAAGACCATCATTCAATAAAATTTTCTCGCGCTCCTAATTAACTATCTCGCTAAAATAAGGTGTTGCGAAAAGCTTGTGATCTACATTATCTAAATAAATTGGAAAAAAAATCTCAATCATAGGATTAGCTTTTTTTCTTAAAAAAAAAATGGGGACTGGGTCGTGTCGAAATTTATCCGAACTACTGATTATACTGTACATAAATGATATATACCTTTTTAACTCTACTTTAATCGGAGCTAAAGAGAAATAAGTTAATGCGAAGTAAGTTAAGCCTACATGAAACTAAATAAATTGGCATTATATTCTCCTTTGTGAACGCTTTTCAAATCTAATTCGCAGTAACTTTCGTTTGATTAATTTGAATTATGATCTTCGTTTGAACAGGGCATAAAATTTAAGGGTGCAATAGAACCCGAATCGTATCTTCGTCTGTGATTTCATTCATAATTTCGTGAAAATTTTGCATTTGCTACATTTTATATAGCTCACCTGAACTAAAAGCTCGTGCAAACTTTTATTATCAATTTTTTCACATTGTCTTTCTACATCGTTGTAAAAGATTTTTTTTTCCAATTAACTTGTCACAAAGTATCCCTAAGAAAAGTGGACTCATATATGTTCAAATGAAGTGTTTAAGTGAGATAAAAAAAATAGTAATATGTAATTGACTATTAAAAAAACTTTTTCTCAATAACCACTGGACCAGAAAGGGTGATTTTTATTTAAGCTTCATTATTAATCATTAAGCGATATTAAAGAAAGACTGTGTTAATCTATGAAATTTTTGTAGGAAAAAGTTTTCAAGTTTTAATCATAAAGGTCCCAAATACAAATGTAATGCTTTTCTAACAAAAATTTAATATGAATATCACACCCCCCCCCCCCATTTTTAAACTAATTTAAAAGAGACCATAGTAATATTTGTAATATAAGTTTTGCAGGACAACAGTTTACAAGTTTTAATCATACAGGTTTTGAATTATACTTATTCAACAAAAAATGTGTATGAATATCACTTTTTGTTCTATTTTTTAAACTAATTTAAAAGAGAAAATATGGTAATATAAGTTTTGCGGGATAAAAGTTTATAAGTTTTAATCATACAGGTTATGGATAATACTTTTTCAACAAAAATGTATATGAATATCACATTTTCCCTGCATATCGTTGTAAAGTAGAATCACCAAAGACAGTTCAGATGAAAAAAGCGTACTAGTGAATACCATTATGGCCCATTTAAAGTCTCACTACAAAATCTGGGAAGGACACAAGTTTTCTGCCTTTATCAGCCTGCTGACTAAGCTTCGAGGAATCAGTGAGAAATATCATACCGTTTATCATAAGATTTGTGAGGACAAGGTTCTTATAACAAAGGTATACATATGTAAATTATGGTAGTGTCTTCGAATTTGTACACACCGTTGAAAAATCGTATATACCAATCTGAAATAGATACATCAAATATATATTTTAATAATTTGAAGTTGTTTCAACAAATATTTTGTCTCTTACGTTGTTTCAACCGTATAAAAATTAATTTTTTGATCGGACGCTACCCCGTGCGGACGGCCGACGTCGCTTTACTTTGTCGAGTTTTGACACATATTTGTTAGTATTTTTTGTTTAGTATTTGTACTTTCTATATAGTAAGCGATACTTAAGATATAAAATGGTTATAGCCTCTTTATTTAAGTTCCATGAAATTTTTATTAATTTTTTACTTGTCTTATATAAAAATAATCATTTTAATCCGAAAACTTTATATCAGAGTTTGTCATTTCAACCCTGGTCCGTGCGCACTATCCGCGACCTTTAAAGATCCAGAGTTTTACAAAAATATTACGTTCCATAAAAAAAATTAAATCATTCTGATTGGTTTTTTCGTAAGAAATATTTTGTTATACAAAAGATGTATACAAAACCATTTATTTTCACAAAACCTCATTGTCAATGGATTTTTTGGACAACCCTCGTATTTGTATACTGTGATGGGAAAATTATACCAAAGTTTTAATATTAAGTAAACAAACATATGATGTCTTGATGCCTTGAAGTGACAATGGATAAAAGGCAGCTTTGATTTTTGTATTATGTGATTGTATATAGATGTCTTGGGTATACATGTGTATCTTTACCGGGTAAGGTTACATTTTGTTCGGTAATGCAGACAATATGAATCAATTTGTCACTCTGGTATTTATATGCATGGATTTAATCCCTTTAAATTTCTTTTTTTTTTTTTTTTTTTTTTGCAACTAAATATTTTTATCAGTTAAAAGAGTGTTTTAATTTTGTATGAATATTGATTGTCCTTGCAATTAAGGTGCTTCAATTTTTATATATATATTACAGACTCTCAGCAACATTTCTGAAATTTTCCACGAATAAAAAAGTAAATGTTAGAAATGAAACAAGTTAGAATATGATCCTCTTGCTTTTGTTTAAAAAGGAAATAAAAAAAAATAAAACTCTTCAAATTCAAAGGGACAGAACTCTGATGAATATATTTCATATATAACAAAAATCCTACTTTATCTCTTAATCCTTAGAATGAGTGTTAAAGGTATATCTTCTATTAAAACAATCAACATTAAATTCAAACAATTATTAAAAATTCAGGCATACAACAAGCAGCTAAGATGTATAGTAAGAAGTTACATTGTATGTCAAGATCACATGATAGCAGTAAAAAGTCCTGTAAGAAATGGCACCTGATCCCACCCGTGATGTTTTAGAGGTCCATGTTTGCTCTTCTTCTGATTTCTATATATTTGACATTTGGGCTTGATTACTGTTCGTTATCTTCATATAATTGTATGCAATACAAAGTTCACCATTGTATGATTTTCACTAGTGCAGGTTTCTAATTGACATGTAAAAATTATGGACCCTGGAGGACAAGAGTTTAGATAATTAGCTTGTCCCAGTAAGCCATCTTGAGAGGAAGACATTAACTACAAAGTTGATTGTAAGTATTGATTCCAGTTCGTTTATTTATTTACAAATCCTGGGCTTAGGGTAAGGATGCAATGTGAAAGGGGGGGGGTAATTTAATTTTATTTTGTGCAAACACAGTTGGGGGCTTTATTTCAATTAAATGAGAATTGTCGCGTTTTTCTATCTTTATCATATATTCGATCAATTCATACTATCAGTGCAAGATATATAACTGTATTCAGCGGCAGCTCACACAAATTGGTCCGACCAAAATAGTTCCATCATGATTAAGTAGATACAATATTACTGTTCATGATAAGAGTGAAGTTGTGTATTTCATACGTTAAAGAAATCAAAAATAACGTCAAAATATTATTAGAAAATCACTTTCCCCCCGAAATGCAAATAAAAAATATCAATATTCCTACGCTCGCTCCCTCCTCAGACTTTTTTTTTTTACATGTTTGATAATAGAGAATATTTAGGTCATTCTTCGATTCTTATTTTTTCACCGATGAATTGATAATACTATATCAACAATTGTATAAAGTATGCATGTTTATAGTCTGTTAATTATCATACAATTTCCTTTTAAGAAAAAATTAATCATTCTGTGTGTGTATATTTAAGGAATGTTTTTTAGTTTTGTGAGTTATTGGTGTGTGAATCACACAGACTTGTCACGTAGGCATATTTAATGAAGCGCGCTAGCGCTTCATGAAAAATATGCCTATGTGCAAGTCTGTGTGATTCACACACCAATAATTCACACTAAACTGAAAAACATTCCTTATATTTACATTTTACCTGTTTGGAGGCAACTAAAATATACTCAATATTTGTATTTCTCGCTGTCCTATATTATTGCATTTTACTAACGTTGCTGCAGTTTCATTGTGACGTCACGGTAACGCACGTTTCTCCGTGTATATTTCTACGCGTGAGTATACACGAAAATGTTTTTCAAATCAATTTCACAGTAAGCTTACTAGAAAAACACAGTGAATGTAAATATTATTAAATGACGGAATTTTCAATCCCTGGCTTGATTCTGCTCACGTGTGTACACTTGCAAACTGTAGGGCATATGTGTAACAAAACGAGAACTGGGTCGGACATTCGGGTTTGTGTTGAAGTTCAGCATAGGCCTACCATTTTATATAGAACTTGAATAATGTAAGTAATTTCTGCGACGAATACATTAGTATATTTCAGTAATTTTCGAAACAAAAAAGGTTTTCAGTTTAGAATTTTCCAATCCGGTCTTGATTTTCCTAACACGGCCATTTTAAACACAAGTTGTTGCAGATGCAAATGTTAGAACAAACTATATATATAGTTCAACAGGGATTGTATAATCTTTATTAATCAGAATTCGTATTCATATGATCTAACTAAGAAAAGAAAAGTTTTGTCTGCCATCGTAACTTCTCGGCAAAACAAAACGTGTTTCTCCGAGCGTGTTAACAGCTCCATCGCACGTGTGTAGATCAAGGCTAATGTTGGTCTTGGTGTACCG